CACACCGGTGGTGAACACAGCAACCACACCGGTGGTGAACACAGCAACCACACGGGTGGTGAACACAGCAACCACACGGGTGGTGAACACAGCAACCACACCGGTGGTGAACACAGCAACCACACCGGTGGTGAACACAGCAACCACACGGGTGGTGAACACAGCAACCACACCGGTGGTGAACACAGCAACCACACCTGGTGGTGAACACATCAACCACACCGGTGGTGAACACAGCAACCACACCGGTGGTGAACACAACAACCACACCGGTGGTGAACACAACAACCACACCGGTGGTGAACACAGCAACCACACCGGTGGTGAACACAACAACCACACTGGTGGTGAACACAGCAACCACACCGGTGGTGAACACAGCAACCACACCGGTGGTGAACACCACAACCACACCGGTGGTGAACACAGCAACCACACTGGTGGTGAACACAGCAACCACACGGGTGGTGAACACAGCAACCACACCGGTGGTGAACACAGCAACCACACTGGTGGTGAACACAACAACTCACAGTAACCATACCGGAGACCAGAATGAAGTTTCCATCTATCTACGTGTTAAAAAAAAAACACTTCAATTAGGATTCACCAAGCATTTACGAAACCTCTTAATCTTTTCTCGAAAGAGGATCTCTATCGACTCCTCCTCCCATACCATCTCCAACCCTGTACTCACCTATTTGTGCTTGCGGGGATTGAGCTCTGGCTCTCTGGTCCCGCCTCTCAGCCGTCAATCAACAGGTGTACAGGTTCCTAAGCCTATTGGGCTCTATCATATCTACACTTGAAAGTGTGTATGGAGTCAGCCGCATTCCATTTGTCCAAAAGGTTCTTTGTAATATCTCTGTGGCTCATTTGGGCACTCAGTTTCCACCTGTGTCCCTTAGTGCGTGTGCCCCTTGTTAAATAACCTCTCTTTATCTACCCTATCAATTCCTTTGAGAATCTTTAATGTGGTGATCATGTGTCCCCCCCTAACTCTTCTGTCTTCCAGCGACGTGAGGTTTAATTCCCGTAGTCTCTCCTCGTAGATCATATCCCTCAGTTCGGGTACTAGTCTGGTGGCAAACCTTTGAACTTTTTCCAGTTTAGTTTTATGCTTGACTACATATGGACTCCGTGTTGGAGCCGCATACTCCAGGATTGGTCTGATATATGTGGGTATACAAAGTTCTGAATAATTCCTTACACAAGTTTCTAAAGGTCGTTCTTATGTTAGCCAACCTGGCGTATGCCGCTGATGTTATCCTCTTGATATGGGCTTCAGGGGACAGGTCTGGCGTGATATCAACCCCCAGGTCTTTCTCTCTCTCTGACTCTTGAAGAATTTCATCTCCCAAATGATACCTTGTATCTGGTCTCCTGCTCCCTACCCCTATCTTCATTACATTACATTTGCTTGGGTTAAGCTCTAACAACCATATATGTTCGACCATTAAGTCGAGAGTGTGGGAGAGTGTGGGTGAGAGGGGTGAGAGTTTCACGTGCTTCCTTTATTTCCTCCCCTCTCTCCTTCTCTTTGTCTCATTCTGTATTCCTATCTTCGTATATTGGAAGTGTTATAGAGTCGTAATGGCTTGGTGCTTTCTCCTGATAATAACCTAACCTCGTCACCTCTCTCTGTGCAGAAGAGAAGGTGAGGGGGGTGCGGAGGGAGGGGGGGAGGGGGGTTATGGCACTTTGCTTCTTCAACCACGACCCCCCCAGGAGACAGCTTGTTAAGTTAAGATGGCTTCCTGGCGCCAGGCTAACAATGCTGTTGTGGGTAACTAATGCCTCTCCTCTCCTCTCCTCCTGCCTCTCTCCTCCTCCTGCCTCTCCTCCTGCCTTTCCTCCTCCTGCCTCTCCTCTCCCTGCCTCTCCTCTCCCTGCCTCTCCTCCTCCTGCCTCTCCTCCTCCTGCCTCTCCTCTCCCTGCCTCTCCTCCTCCTGCCTCTCCTCTCCCTGCCTCTCCTCCTCCTGCCTCTCCTCTCCTCTCCCTGCCTCTCCTCCTCCTGCCTCTCCTCCTCCTGCCTCTCCTCTCCCTGCCTCTCCTCCTCCTGCCTCCTCCTGCCTCTCCTCCTCCTCCTCCTCCTGCCTCTCCTCTCCCTGCCTCTCCTCCTCCTGCCTCTCCTCTCCCTGCCTCTCCTCCTCCTGCCTCTCCTCTCCTCTCCCTGCCTCTCCTCCTGCCTCTCCTCTCCTCTCCCTGCCTCTCCTCCTCCTGCCTCTCCTCCTCTCTCCCTGCCTCTCCTCCTCCTCTCCTCTCCTCTCTCCTGCCTCTCCTCCTCTCCTGCCTCTCCTCCTCCTGCCTCTCCTCCTCCTGCCTCCTCCTCCTCCTCTGCCTCCTCCTCTCCTCCTCCTGCCTCTCCTCTCTCCTGCCTCTCCTCCTCCTGCCTCTCCTCTCCTCCTCCTGCCTCTCCTCTCCTCCTCCTGCCTCTCCTCTCCTCCTCCTGCCTCTCCTCCTCCTGCCTCTCCTCCCTCCTCTCCTCCTCCTGCCTCTCCTCCTCCTGCCTCTCCTCCTCCTGCCTCTCTCCTGCCTCTCTCCCTGCCTCTCCTCCTCCTGCCTCTCCTCTCCTCTCCCTGCCTCTCCTCCTCCTGCCTCTCCTCCTCCTGCCTCTCCTCTCCTCTCCTCTCCTCCTCCTGCCTCTCCTTCTCCTGCCTCTCCTCCTCCTCCTCCCTCTCCTCCTCCTCCTCCTGCCTCTCCTCTCCTCCTCCTGCCTCTCCTCTCCTCCTCCTGCCTCTCCTCTCCTCCTCCTGCCTCCTCTCCTCCTCCTGCCTCTCCTCCTCCTCCTGCCTCTCCTCCTCCTCTCTCCCTGCCTCTCCTCCCTCCTGCCTCTCCTCTCCTCCTCCTGCCTCTCCTCCTCCTGCCTCTCCTCCTCCTCCTCCTGCCTCTCCTCTCCTCCCCCTGCCTCTCCTCTCCTCCTCCTGCCTCTCCTCCTCCTGCCTCTCCTCTCCTCTCCTCCTCCTGCCTCTCCTCCTCCTGCCTCTCCTCCTCCTGCCTCTCCTCTCCCTCCCCTCTCCTCTCCTCTCCCTGCCTCTCCTCCTCCTGCCTCTCCTCCTCCTGCCTCTCCTCTCCCTGCCTCTCCTCCTCCTGCCTCTCCTCCTCCTGCCTCTCCTCCTCCTGCCTCTCCTCTCCTCCTCCTGCCTCTCCTCTCCTCCTCCTGCCTCTCCTCTCCTCCTCCTGCCTCTCCTCTCCTCCTCCTGCCTCTCCTCCTCCTGCCTCTCCTCCTCCTGCCTCTCCTCTCCCTGCCTCTCCTCTCCCTGTCTCTCCTCTCCCTGCCTCTCCTCTCCCTGCCTCTCCTCTCCCTGCCTCTCCTCTCCCTGCCTCTCCTCTCCCTGCCTCTCCTCTCCCTGCCTCTCCTCCTCCTGCCTCTCCCTCCCCCTGCCTGACCAGTGTCATTAACATGTATTACACGCAAAATGCTAATACAACTCATCAGTAAAAGAACTGAACAGAACAGAGTAAATGTTATACCAGGGGCACAACACGGCTTCACAGAGGGGCAACCCATCTGAACTTGACTAAATTCTATAACAGGATGTCCAAAATAAGAGATATAAAGCATGGGGTAAACTGACGTGTTCCTAGACTACCAGAAAGATTTTGATAAAGTTCGTCACAAAAGGCTAATGTATTTAGTGTAGAGACGAGCGGAGATTAGAGGAAAGGTTCTAGATTGGGTACGGGAGTACCTGGCGGACAGGGAACAAATGGTCATATATTCAGAGACAATATAGTCAGGTTGGAGAGTGGTGTTCCACAGGGCTCTGTCCAAGGGCCCTTATTATTTCAAACTTATGTAATATGACCACGACATACAAGATCCTGAGGGCAATAGAGCAAGTGGACACAGGTAGCTATTTAAACTAAATGGCGGTAGGACAAGTGGGCATCAGAGGAACACAGACAAGCAATTCATTCGAGACGTTTTGGAAGTTGTCATTCCTTGTCCGGGCGGTCCGCAGGTGGAGTGTAGTGAAGGAAGAGGTTCAGGACGATTCCTTCCACAACTGTAAGACAAATATATGTTAAAAACTTTAATGTTGAGAGGTAATGATGGCGCACCAGGTATGGAAGCCTAGGAGGCGGGTGTTAAGAGCTAGAGCTCGCATAGTTACTGATAGGTGAGGCCTCATAGGTGAGACCTCATAGGCGACACCTCATAGGTGAGCCCTCATAGGTGAGGCCTCATAGGTGAGCCCTCATAGGTGAGGCCTCATACGTGAGGCCTCATAGGTGAGGCCTCATAGGTGAGGCCTCATAGGTGAGGCCTCATAGGTGAGGCCTCATAGGTGAGGCCTCATAGGTGAGGCCTCATAGGTGAGGCCTCATAGGTGAGGCCTCATAGGTGAGCCGTGCCTCTCCTCTCCCAGGATATTAAAGGTCAGGGAGTCCCGCTTACAACACACTTACACAAGCAAGTTGTCTACCATCTTGAGTCACAGGCGTGGGAGAGGGAGCGTGGGCGTGAGAGATGACGTGGGTGTGGCCCAACAGGCTCCGTCTGGACGTGTGGTCACCGCCACAACTCTCATACTCTCCAGGCATCATGACTCCTTCCTCTCTTGGGTGCTCCTACAGCCAGCCATTTCCCCCTCAATCCTTTACAGGGCTACTCATCCCCGTGCCACCTCTTGCGGTGGATTAATCTCCATCAACCTCTCAATCGCGCCTAACACGGTCTGATCTTGGAGTCAACCCTCCAGGTAGCCAGGGACCAGGAGCCTGGGCGCCAGCCTCCCGTAGTCTGCAGCAGCTGCTTAAATAAACCTGTACACACGTGTATTTTAATAACTTAATGTTTTAATAATAATGCATTTTACTAACAGAGCTTATGGGTCAAGACGAGCGTGTTTTCTACAGTCTAGCGAGACGTTTCTCGCTTTTCGGCTTGTTTCAAGCGTAGGTTAGACAGTTTATTTACGCAGGTGTGTGTGGATAATGTGGGGGAATATTTGTTGTACTCTGATGATGACGGTAGATTGTGTCTCCCTCAGATCCGGCCACGCCCAGCGACCCTCCCGACGACCTCCCATTTACCTGGGCTTTAGTCTCCTCCCTCACTGCCTCCAACATCTCTCCACTCCCTCCCACCTCCCCTCCATCACTGCTGGTCTCCTCTCAGCTCCACCATACAACTCACATGCCACAAACACCGTGTTAAGAAGCCTCCATCACACACCCCCCAACGTCTCCTTCACACCACCACACTCACCACCTTCAGCTTGAGAAGAAGCACCATGAAGACGTGCTTGGTGGCCCTGACGGTGGCCTGCCTGGCCGGGGTGGCCACCTCCCGGATGGCTTGGGTGTTTCCCGCCAGCTACGAGACCATCACTGGCCCCTTGGTGCAGAGCTTCAGCTGCGACGGCCGCCCCTACGGGTACTACGCCGACGTCGACAACGCCTGCAGGGTCTTCCACGTCTGTCTCCCCATCCAGGATGACCTAGGGCAGGTGAGGAATGGGGAAGAGGGATGGGCAACGGTCAGGAATGGGGAAGGGTAGGGGAATAGGGAAGGGGAGGAGGGGGAAGAGGTTGATACCACTATCAACTGGGGAATACTTGTGAGTTTTATGGTAATCACTGACAATATCTGTGGTTTACCTCACGATATTTACTACACATGTGACTGGTTCTGTTTGATGTTTGTAATTACAGATGTGTAGCTTGAGTTCATGGACTCGACTCCCGGAAGACACTTGAAAAAACAAAAAACTTGCGTTTTGTTTGATTCCAGAACACACTCGCAGAGACCCAAGTGTGTGTAATCAACACAAGAGCCTTGCAAACATTCGTACTCTTACCATGAAGGTGCATATACTTCTACTGAGCATACACGGCTTAAACACACACACAACACAAGACAGCGAGTCACTGTGAGGGGTGAGGTCTCCTATTGGCGAGGTGTCACCAGTGGAGTCCCGCAAGGGGCAGTCTTTGGACCTATACTGTTTCTGATACGTGTAAATGATCTACGGGAGGGTACAGAATCGTTCCTCTCATTGTTTGCTGATGATGGAAAAAATATGAGGAGGATTAAAACAGAGGAAGATAGTATAAGGCTACAAGACGACCTAGACAGATTGAATGAATGGTCTAACAAATGGCTACTAAAGTTCAACGAGAGTAAATGTAAGGTAATGAAACTAGGCGGTGGCAACAGGAGGCTAGACACACGATACCGAATGGGAGATGAAGTCCTTCATGAACCGGACAGAGAGAAAGGTCTAGGAGTTGATACCACACCAAACCTGTCTTCTGAAGCCCACATATAAAGAATAACATCTGCGGCATACGCGAGGCTCGCTAACATCAGAACTGCCTTCAGGAATCTGTGTAAGGAATCATTCAGAAACTTGTATACCACATATGTAAGACCAATCCTGGAGTATGCAGCCCCAGCATGGAGTCGGTACCTTGTCAAGCACAACACGAAGCTGGAAAAAGATCAGAGGTATGCCACTAGCATAGTCCCAGAACTAAGAGGCATGAGTTACGAGAAAAGACTGCGCGAAATGCACCTCACGACACTGGAAGACAGAAGAGTAAGGGGAGACATGATCACCACCTACAAAATTCTAAGAGGAACTGACAGGGTAGATAAAGATGACCTGTTTAACACGGGTGGTACGCGAACAAGGGGACACAGGTGAAAACTGAGTACCTTAATGAGCCACAGGGACGTTAGAAAGAACTTTTTCAGTGTCAGAGTAGTTAACAGGTGGAATGCACTAGGAAGTGATGTGGTGGAGGCTGACTCCATACACAGTTTCAAATGTAGATATGACAGAGCCCAGTAAGCTCAGGAACCTGTACACCAGTTGATTGACAGTTGAGAGGCGGGACCAAAGAGCCAAAGCTCAACCCCCGCAAGCACAACTAGGTGAGTACACACACACACACACAGTTTCACTTTTAAATGATGTAATTACGTCTTTTGTTCCTCTCACCTCTTCTGCCCTCTTTCCCTTTCCCTCTTATTCACCTCTCTCACACCCCCCCCCCTCATCCCTTTTCACTCTTCCACCCCTTTCCCATCTCCTAACTACCCCCCTATCCTACCCATTCTTTTTCCTCTCGTACCCCTTTTCCACTCGCCTCTGCCTCTCTCCCTTCCCCTTAGTCCATTTCCAGCTATTATTTTAACCCTTTTTTATCTCCTTTCACTTTCCTTCCCGCCTTTCTCCTCCCGAGGAGAGGAAGATGGTACAGGGTGAGGGGGGAGGAGGGGGTCGTAGGGTGGGGGGGGGCAGGAGGAGGTCGGAGAGGGGGGGGAGGGGGGAGGGTCTACGCTCACCTGTAATTACCGCGGGGATCAAGGTTGTGTCGTGCGCCTTATGCGTCTCATTACCATTCTCGTGGCGTTCCGTTAGCGTCCCGTGGCGTTCCGACAGCGTTTCGGGGCGTTCTGTGGGGTTTCGGGGCGTTCCGTTAGCGTTCTGGGGCGTTCCGTTAGCGTTTCGGGGCGTTCTGTGGCGTTTCGGGGCGTTCTGTGGCGTTCCGGGGCGTTCCGTGGCGTTCCGGGGATTCTGTTAGCGTTCTGCGGCGTTCCGGGGATTCTGTTAGCGTTCTGCGGCGTTCCGGGGCGTTTCGTTAGCGTTCCGTAGCGTCCCGTTCCATTGCGATTTTGAGCGGAACGTACATGCATCGACACTTACGTCCCGCTCAGTTTCGTTCCGTTTGGGACCCTTTTGCCGTTTGTGAGTCCCGCCTCAGTCCCCCTTGACTCCGTTTTGTCCTCTTGACTTCTGTTGATCTCCTGTTGTTCTGTTTCTGTTGTAATATCTGTGCTGGGTTTTACTCACCCATCCACCGGTCACCCACTACCTTACCCACCATGTTCAACACCTCCCTCCCACCTCCTCTTCCAACTCTTATCTCCATTCCTCTCTCTTCCGCATTCCTCTTCCCTACCGGCTCCTCCCCTGCACGAGGGGGTGGCGGAACAGGAAGGAATAAGGGATAGTAAGAAGGTGGGAAGGATAGGAGATGATTTAGAACCAGAGGAAAGGAGACAAAGAAGAGGGGGAAAGTTATTAGCAAAAGCCGAGAAGAGAGGGGGAAAAGATGGATGGGGGGGGGGGAGGGTGGTGAAGGGGAAATGGATAGGGAGAAGTGGTGAGAAGGGCAAAGGGTAGGATTTGAGAGGGTATATATATATATATATATATATATATATATATATATATATATATATATGGGCAGAGGAGACGGGTAGGTCAAAGGTGGGCTTCACAATGGCGTCTGAAAGGGGCAGATGGTGCCGTCACTACTGCCTGAAGGGGACAGATGGTGCCGTCACTACTGCCTGAAGGGGCAGACGGTGCCACCTGTGCCTCGTCCATCCCACCACAACTCGGTTGCTCCTCTTTCTCTACTCCACAATTATGCATTTCTATCCTCTCCCTTGTCTCTCCATTTCTGTACTTTTCTCTACACTTCTGCTTCACCTTGCATCCCATGAGACAGACAGGAAGAGAAAGTGACAAACACACACAGAGACAGATACAGACACACACACACACACACACACACACACACACACACACACAGGAATCAGAACATTGCATACAACATATGTCATACTAACCCTGGAGTATGCAGCTCCAACCTGAGTCCATACCAAACACAAGATAAAATTTAGAGAAAGATCAGAAGTATGGCACCAGACTAGTCCCGAAACAGAGAGGTACGAATTACAAGGAAAGCCTCCTGGAATTAAACCTCACGTCACTGGAAGACACAAGATTTAGAGGAGACATGATTACCACTTACAAAATTCTCAGAAGAATTGACAGTAGATAAAAACAAACTATATATCATGAGTGGAACACGAACAAGAGGGACACAGGTGGAAACAGAGTACCCAAATAGGCCACAGAGACAATAGAATTTTCTCTGTGATATAGTTAACAAATGGAATGCATTAGGCAGTGATGCAGAGGAGGCAGACTCCATACACAGTTTCAGGTATAGGTATGATAAGAGCCCAACAGGCTCAGGAACTTGTACCGCAGATGACTAACGACGCTTGAGAGGCGGGTTGAAAGAGCCGAAGCTCAACACCCCCCCCCCTCCCCTCCACCCCCAGAAAGCACAACTAGGTGAGCACAACGACACACACACACACACATGGTTGACGGTTGAGAGGCGGAACCAAAGAGCCGAAGCTCAACCCCCTCCACCCCCAGAAACCACAACTAGGTGAGCACAACGACACACACACACACATGGTTGACGGTTGAGAGGCGGGACCAAAGAGCCAGAGCTCAACCCCCGCAAACACAACTAAGTGAGTACACATCTTGAGATGGTTGTACCAGCGAAGGACAACCGGTTTTCTTCTCTATCTTCTTCTTCTTACTCGTGACGACGACAGTGGTAATTACCAAGGTCGTGCCGCCTCCGCCTCTACCACCAAACAACGGCTCCTTGCCCAAATGGCCCCATCATTAACCACTCTTCTCACCTTCACGGAAAATAAAAGAGTACACCTCAAAACTCCAGTCTACCATCACGCCGGACTTGTCAATCAAACCCGTCATCACGCCGGACTTGTCAGATCAAACCCGTCATCACGCCGGGCTTGTCAATCCACCTGGTCACCAAGCCTGTCTCACCAATCCCACACCTGCCAGCGGCGTGATGACCGAACACTTGGTCAGTGTGTACGGGGGAACGGGCCGCGTGTGATGTATATTATATTCACAAACCTTGAAGTCGACTGCTTAATGGAATATATTACAGCTTTGAGGGCTGAGGGGTAGGGGGGGGGGGGGGATAGGGGGGGGGGGCTAGGGGGGGGGCTAGGGGGTCCAAGGGGGGGGGGTTGCCTGGGGGTGGGTGGGGGAGGGGGTAGAGTCATCGCTCTAGGAAGGTGTCACGTCTCACTCCCCGTTATTTCCCTCGCTGTGATCATCAACTACAACATTTCCATTTGTTCTCAGAGATAACATTGTTGTTATTATTACCGTCAATGTTCATGTCCCGTGTCATTATAGGTGGTTCTTATCATGCTGACGTCATCATTGTACTCTTAGCATTGTAATAGTGTGTTTATTCTTTCCTGGTGATTTACATGTAATATATTGACTTGTATGAGGTTGGAGTGGGACAGGTGTAATGGCAGCTGCAGGTCTAACTATCCCACCTGCCCACTGACAACAATCATCTTTCTCTCTCTCTCTCACAAACTCTAAAAACATTCCAAACTCTGTTTAAGAGAGTTCGTGGAACAGGAGCATAATGGAGAGATGGACAAAAGTATATTTAATCAAGTTATTCTATGTTCTACCCCCCGAGCTAACTAACTATCCTCGCTAACTACGTCCCGTTTTGCACTGTTTCCTCTCCTTCACATCTTTCCAAACCATTTTCCCTTCCAAGATCTGGCTCCATCGACCCTCTTATGTCCGTATTCAGTAATATTTACATTAGGTCACAAGAAAAAACACATTAACGTCATGTATCAAGTGACAAAAATTAGTAGGAGCCGTGAAGACGATTCGAACCAACACTCTGGGAATTCTTGAAGCATTATCAATTGGTGTAGTGAACCCAGAGAGTATAGGTTCGAATCCTGCTCATGGCTCCAACAGATTGTTTTCATAAGCATTAGTTTTAACTTAGTTTCTTGTGTGTTCTTCAGGTTATCCAGACGGCGCACTTCTCCTTCTTGTGCGGGAACCAGACCATCTTCGACCAGGAGACTCTGACCTGCAACCACCCGGCCTACGCCTTCCCCTGCGACCAGGCCTCCTCGCTCTACGACTCCAGGAACTCGCTCTTCGGACGCGTCGATGAGCAGTTTTAAGGCGCCTCTGCTACGCCGCCTCATCCCGGAAGTCCTACCCAATATCAGAGAGCAGTCCCTCAGCGCGCCTTGTCATAGATATCCTGGTATTACGGCGGAGTCCTTGGACCGCCTTCTTCCAGAGGTCCTGGGGCCAGATTCACGAAGCATTACGCAAGTACTTAAGAACGTGTACGTCTTTTCTCAATCTTGAACGGATTTGGTTACATTTATTAAACAGTTTACAAGCATGAAAACTTGCCAATCAACTGTTGTTATTCTTACAAACAGCCTCCTGGTGCTTCGGAGCTCATTAACTGTTTATTAATCGTAAACAAAGCCGCCAAATATTGAGAAAAGATGTACAGGTTCGTAAGTGCTTGCGTAACTGCTTCGTGAATCTGGTCGCTGGTCAATTTGGCAAAGTTGTCCTTGAACAGCCTTTCACCAGAAGAGTCCTTGGACTCCTGCTACAGAGGACACATTTCGTCAGTCTAGAGTCCACCTTCTCTTCTATTAAATGAATATTTTGGACGGCTGCTCTTAAGCTCCGTTTATTTCTTATACTTCAAGGACTCGTTCCTCGGCCAAGATAATCATTCGTCCTCGGGGACTTCTTCGGCCAAGATAATCATTCGTCCTCGGGGACTTCTTCGGCCAAGATAATCATTCGTCCTCGGAGACTTCTTCGGCCAAGATAATAATTCGTCCTCAGGGACTTCTTCGGCCAAGATAATCATTCGTCCTCGGAGACTTCTTCGGCCAAGATAATAATTCATCCTCGGGGACTATGGTCCAGGTCGTCCTTGGGAACTTTCAAGAATCATCGTCGTCTGCAGCTTCCAGGAATTTGATCGAAATTCCAGTTGATGGTCACAAGTGGGCTAATGTCTCCACGAACTCACTCCAAGATGCTGATTGGACACCACTTAAATCAACTCTCCCATAACAAGCAGGACCTCGGGGCTTGAATACTTCCAAAACTATCATTTCACAAAAAAAAACGACGACCTCAACCCTGCAAAATATAATTGTTGACGCTAGAAGTTAGTACAAAAACAATGTTGACCAGATCACACACTAGAAGATGAAGGGACGACGACGTTTCGGTCCGTCCTGGACCATTCTCAAGTCGATTCTCACAATCGACTTGAGAATGGTCCAGGACGGACCGAAACGTCGTCGTCCCTTCACCTTCTAGTGTGTGGTCTGGTCAACATACATTAGCCACGTTATTGTGACTCATCGCCTGCACAAAAACAATGTTCTCCCTCCCGAGGATCTCTCACTCTCCACCAAGCACCAGCCTCACACATGCCAACTTCACACACACATAATCTCTATCATCCCCCCAACTATGCTCTATATCACTAGCCCTCATAAACTTGTACACAACAAACCTGTAAACAGACGAAATATACATCCATTTAGGGCTAATAATGGTTCTAATATCCACGTAATGTTTATACATGACCTGGCAAGTATTGGTCAAGAACCCCAGTTGTATATAATGCATCCTTTCCCATGGACATTTCTACGAGACGGTTTTCTTTCCCTGCACCAATAAAAAATAAATTATATACAACACCTTTACGTTTTTGTATTTTCTGAAGTGATGCGAGGCCACTAAAGCTCCGTTACCCCAGGTTCAGGCATTTCTAGGTATAACTGACAAATGTTAAATGCTATATTACTTACGTTTCTATGTGCTATAAGCCCACATACTTTCCAACTATGGCCTTATAAAATAACGTTTTCAAATATCATTTGTCGATACATTATGCAGTACTCCTTCTGAAGATGTATTAACATACGAAAGTACTTAAGGAAATTCCTGTTTCAATTTTCCTCCGTGGTCTGACACTGTCACATTTTTAATCACGTGTTTATTTTCGTGATATACACACATTATGCAGTAATGTGTGTCAGTAAATATTTTTAACTAAAGTTGTAGCTTTAATGTCATGGTTTCCATTGTGGGTGTGTGACAGGATCTCCCACTGTGGGTGTGTGTGACAGGATCTCCCACTGTGGGTGTGTGACAGGATCTCCCACTGTGGGGGTGTGTGACAGGATCTCCCACTGTGGGTGTGTGTGACAGGATCTCCCACTGTGGTGTGTGTAAGTGACAGGATCTCCCACTGTGGGTGTGTGACAGGATCTCCCACTGTGGGTGTGTGACAGGATCTCCCACTGTGGGTGTGTGACAGGATCTCCCACTGTGGGTGTGTGTGACAGGATCTCCCACTGTGGGTGTGTGTGGCAGGATCTCCCACTGTGGGTGTGTGTGACAGGATCTCCCACTGTGGGTGTGTGTGACAGGATCTCCCACTGTGGGTGTGTGTGACAGGATCTCCCACTGTGGGTGTGTGTGACAGGATCTCCCACTGTGGGTGTGTGTGACAGGATCTCCCACTGTGGGTGTGTGTGACAGGATCTCCCACTGTGGGTGTGTGTGACAGGATCTCCCACTGTGGGTGTGTGTGACAGGATCTCCCACTGTGGGTGTGTGTGACAGGATCTCCCACTGTGGGTGTGTGACAGGATCTCCCACTGTGGGTGTGTGTGACAGGATCTCCCACTGTGGGTGTGTGTGACAGGATCTCCCACTGTGGGTATGTGTGACAGGATCTCACCACTGTGGGTGTGTGACAGGATCTCACCACTGTGGGTGTGTGTGACAGGATCTCACCACTGTGGGTGTGTGTGTGTATGACAGGAACTCCAACTGTGGGTGTGTGTGACAGGAACTCCCACTGTGGGTATGTGTGACAGGATCTCACCACTGTGGGTGTGTGTGACAGGATCTCACCACTGTGGGTATGTGTGACAGGAACTCCAACTGTGGGTGTGTGTGACAGGAACTCCCACTGTGGGTATGTGTGACAGGATCTCACCACTGTGGGTATGTGTGACAGGATCTCCCACTGTGGGTATGTGACAGGATCTCTCACTGTGGGTATGTGACAGGATCTCCCACTGTGGGTGTGTGTGACAGGATCTCACCACTGTGGGTGTGTGTGACAGGATCTCACCACTGTGGGTATGTGTGACAGGATCTCCCACTGTGGGTATGTGACAGGATCTCTCACTGTGGGTGTGTGACAGGATCTCTCACTGTGGGTATGTGACAGGATCTCTCACTGTGGGTATGTGACAGGATCTCCCACTGTGGGTGTGTGTGACAGGATCTCACCACTGTGGGTGAGTGTGACAGGATCTCACCACTGTGGGTATGTGTGACAGGATCTCCCACTGTGGGTATGTGACAGGATCTCTCACTGTGGGTGTGTGACAGGATCTCTCACTGTGGGTATGTGACAGGATCTCTCACTGTGGGTATGTGACAGGATCTCCCACTGTGGGTGTGTGTGACAGGATCTCACCACTGTGGGTGTGTGTGACAGGATCTCACCACTGTGGGTATGTGTGACAGGATCTCACCACTGTGGGTATGTGTGACAGGATCTCTCACTGTGGGTATGTGACAGGATCTCTCACTGTGGGTATGTGACAGGATCTCCCACTGTGGGTGTGTGTGACAGGATCTCCCACTGTGGGTGTGTGTGACAGGATCTCACCACTGTGGGTGTGTGACAGGATCTCTCACTGTTGGTATGTGACAGGATCTCCCACTGTGGGTGTGTGTGACAGGATCTCTCACTGTGGGTGTGTGTGAGACAGGATCTCCCACTGTGGGTGTGTGTGACAGGATCTCTCACTGTGGGTGTGTGACAGGATCTCTCACTGTGGGTGTGTGACAGGATCTCTCACTGTGGGTGTGTGACAGGATCTCCCACTGTGGGTGTGTGACAGGATCTCTCACTGTGGGTGTGTGACAGGATCTCTCACTGTGGGTGTGTGACAGGATCTCTCACTGTGGGTGTGTGACAGGATCTCCCACTGTGGGTGTGTGACAGGATCTCTCACTGTGGGTGTGTGACAGGATCTCTCACTGTGGGTGTGTGACAGGATCTCCCACTGTGGGTGTGTGACAGGATCTCTCACTGTGGGTGTGTGACAGGATCTCTCACTGTGGGTGTGTGACAGGATCTCTCACTGTGGGTGTGTGACAGGATCTCCCACTGTGGGTGTGTGTGACAGGATCTCCCACTGTGGGTGTGTGTGACAGGATCTCCCACTGGGGGTGTGTGACAGGATCTCCCACTGGGGGTGTGTGACAGGATCTCTCACTGTGGGTGTGTGACAGGATCTCCCACTGTGGGTGTGTGTGACAGGATCTCCCACTGTGGGTGTGTGACAGGATCTCCCACAGTGACAGGATCTCTCACTGTGGGTGTGTGACAGGATCTCCCACTGTGGGTGTGTGACAGGATCTCCCACTGTGGGTGTGTGACAGGATCTCTCACTGTGGGTGTGTGACAGGATCTCCCACTGTGGGTGTGTGACAGGATCTCTCACTGTGGGTGTGTGACAGGATCTCTCACTGTGGGTGTGTGACAGGATCTCCCACTGTGGGGTGTGTGACAGGATCTCCCACTGTGGGTGTGTGACAGGATCTCCCACTGTGGGTGTGTGTGACAGGATCTCCCACTGTGGGTGTGTGTGACAGGATCTCCCACTGTGGGTGTGTGTGACAGGATCTCCCACTGTGGGTGTGTGTGACAGGATCTCCCACTGTGGGTGTGTGTGACAGGATCTCCCACTGTGGGTGTGTGACAGGATCTCTCACTGTGGGGGTGTGTGACAGGATCTCCCACTGTGGGTGTGTGTGTCAAGATCTCCCACTGTGGGTGTGTGTGACAGGATCTCCCACTGGGGGTGTGTGACAGGATCTCCCACTGTGGGTGTGTGACAGGATCTCTCACTGTGGGTGTGTGACAGGATCTCTCACTGTGGGTGTGTGACAGGATCTCCCACTGTGGGTGTGTGACAGGATCTCTCACTGTGGGTGTGTGACAGGATCTCCCACTGTGGGTGTGTGACAGGATCTCCCACTGGGGGTGTGTGACAGGATCTCCCACTGTGGGTGTGTGACAGGATCTCCCACTGTGGGTGTGTGTGACAAGATCTCCCACTGTGGGTGTGTGTGACAGGATCTCACCACTGTGGGTGTGTGTGACAGGATCTCCCACTGTGGGTGTGTGTGACAGGATCTCTCACTGTGGGTGTGTGACAGGATCTCTCACTGTGGGTGTGTGACAGGATCTCTCACTGTGGGTGTGTGACAGGATCTCTCACTGTGGGTGTGTGACAGGATCTC